TTCTATTTATAGATCTACATGTTCCATTATTGTCACTATTACACAGCATACACACGATGTATTCAACGAAACGAATGTCAGCAAAAGCTCTCTCTCTCTCTCTTCCTCTCTTTTAGTCACACAAACACATGTACCCTTTTTGACCATTTTTTTTCATTCTCTCTCTTTCTCTCTCTCTCTCACACACACACACACACGCACACACATGCGCACAGAAACATACATACTATACATACATACATAAACCAACTCTCACCTCCAAATCTGGCTCGGGTGATGCAGTTGTCTTGCTGGCCCCTTCTATTGGCAAGGTAATGCACATGTTCATATAGTCATCTGCAGTCTTCGGTTCACCAGCCTGAACTAAGACTTGGATGTTCAGTAAAACGAGACAGAAGATCAAAAATGTTTTCATTATCATACGTGTGGAGTTGAACAAACTGACGTGGAACCAGCTTGCCTTTGCTATATTGACGGTAACTTGTCTGACGTACCATTTAGATCATTGCTGTCAGGGCCAATCAAATTGTAGTTATGCCGGTGACATCATTACCAACAAAACAGCGGTGCACTATACGTAATAATACGCCGTCAGAAGTGTGCCGAGAGACTTTTTTTACAAACATATTCAATACGTGAGACGAGAGACCTAATCCAGAGAATGACCTGTCATATTTCAAAGGTGTATTATCCACCATAAATTACCACTGTCACATCTGGTAATATTATGTATGGAAGGACATAACATCACAAGATAGAAGGAACTATAAACTAAATTGCAATGTATATATTTAAACTGTCCTACTATATTAATGATTAAAGAAACGATAATACTGTTTATTGAACTTGCATAATAAACGTTCGTTTTTTCTCTTTAAACATGATTGTGCTACGATTTATCTATTATTGTGCAATAATTTTGGACTTTTATATGAAATCACTATCACAAAGTTTAACCTTAAGTAGGCATTAGCCTTATATCTGATTATTGTAACTCTGGATTTGTATGCATGTACAGTATCTTTTGCTGACTAATACCTGTTGATCTCTGCTATAGTTCCTCAACTTTTTCAGATTGCGCCGAATTCTAGGACGCAATAGGATGTATACACATATAATTGTATTCGTTACTCTTTCTAACGACTAAAATTGTTTTTATACAGTGAATATTGTATGTTATTTCTTTAAAACTATTCCAGTAACCGCCCTTATAAAGGTGTATTCGGAGTTAAATAAAAAAAATCAAACATAACAAGAGGGTCCTCAGGATTAAGTACCACCAGCTGGAGTAAGTGCATTCGTATAGAAAACAAAAAAAGAGTACCACCTCCACTGTTGTGCATCACAAGCACTTCCAAATGCAGTTAACAATTTTTTGTTGAAAATTACAATCAATAACTGAATCATAGGGGGAAGTAAAAGGTAAAATCCAAATTTGTGAAGTGCGGTTCATGACGAAAAGTAGCTAACTAGGGCTCCTGAATTGATCTTAATGTGCAATTTGAGACCGGAACTGAACTGACGTGGTCTTAAAGATTTAGTAAGCAGTCTTAATTTAACCTTTAGACTAAATACGAACTGAAACTCCAGTGAGTAACACTATAATTATTATGACTTCAACTGAAGTGGTAAAGCAATTATCTCCCTTCACACATTCAGTCCAAAATTGGACTGACTTTCCAGCTATCCAGGTGAAGAAGAGGGCCATTGTGTGAGTAGCAGAGCGTGGTCCCTTGTCAAGTGCTAATTAAGAAAGATCATATTAAGAATGCTTACTTAATCTTTAAGACCACGTCAGTTTAGTTCTGGTCTTAAATTGCACTTTAAGACCAAATCAGGCGCACACATGTCAATTTCAAGGTCACAGGAAGACTTCAATATAGGAGTTCCTATTCAAGTTTAATGGTTTCTATGGGTATATCTGTGCCTGTTTTGAAGATATAAGGGACAGAAAACTTGCAAAGTTCAGTTCATGGTGAAAGGTAGGTCAAAGGTCAAATTCAAGGTCACAGTTAGATTGCCAGTATATGACTCACTGTTCAAGTTCAACAGTAACTACGGGCGTGTCTCTGCCGGTTTTGGATGCTTAAGCGTCAGAAAATTTGCAAAGTTTAGTGTATTTTGAAAAGTAGGTGAAAGGTAATTGCAAGGTCACAATTAGATTGCCATTATATGACTTCCTATTCATGTTCAATAGTAACTATGGGCGTATCTCTGCCATTTTTGGAGTTATTTCACATTTTATTTTCACCACTGAATATTGCAATGTTATACCCTTTGATATAGTGCAACTCGTAAACCATATGGAAAACAACAAAAAAATACGGACACCACTTCAAGTGTTGCACTTGACAAGCTCTTCAAAATGCAAGAAACGAGAGGTCCTTAGCATTTACGGTTTCAGAATTATAGAGAGTTTTTAGTTTCGGCATCTAATGGTTGCTTTTCCCGTGGAAACGCATCGATTGACCCCAAATTCATGAAGAAGAAAGATGACTCACTGTCCATTATGTTATAGGTAAGATCTGTGTAGTTTGTGAAAATCGGCATATATATGTGTGTGTGTGTAGAGACCCATGCTGTAATAGACCTCTACACATAAGGGTGGCTTGACTCAACCCCCTCTAATGGGCATGAAAGTACATTTTGTACAACCAAAAGTGTTGTGTAAATGTCCCCTTTTATGTCTATTTTGCATAAAAAGTAAAATAAAAGGCTCCATTCCACACACCCTAGTTTTGTTACTTATGACCTAATCTTCCACACCAGCACTATTCATAATAGCTTTGCAGAGTTTTTTTTTCTTTTATTTTCACCAAAATGCACCCTGAGCTTCAGAGATAACTTGACACTAACCTCTTCACAATAGCCTATCTTCATCGTGTCAAGTTACTTGACCACGATGAAGATAGGCTATAGTGAAGAGGTTAGTGTAAGTAACTTGACACCACCCTGAGCTTCAGAGATAACTTGACACTAACCTCTTCACAATAGCCTATCTTCATCGTGTCAAGTTACTTGACCACGATGAAGATAGGCTATAGTGAAGAGGTTAGTATCAAGTTATCTCTGAAGCTCAGGGTGGTGTCAAGTTACTTGACCACGATGAAGATAGGCTATAGTGAAGAGGTTAGTGTCAAGTTATCTCTGAAGCTCAGGGTGCCAAAAATGCTATTTTATATAGCTTAATTTGTCAAGGAAATCTGTGAAAATCTATTGACTTGGTAAATAGTCCAAACAAGAGACACCAGCCTATAATAATTACCAGATGTTTACCAGATAAAAGAAGCTAGCCAATATACTGATGAGCATCTGCTAGATGGCCAGTTTGATATCAGTGTATGCAAGGATGCACCTGATTTAATCAGAGCCTAAATAGTTAATTAAGGCACACATCTATTGCCACCAGTACACCTTATGGGTTCAGACCTCCCATAGCAAAACTAGACCCATCAGTGTCTGGTACTGACAGTGTAAAGCTGGTTCCAAGACAGTTGGAAGTTGTGCATATATCACTTCAGTCCTGTGGTATATGGGGTTTGCTATGAAGCAGGGATACAATCGAAAATTATGTTGTGGAGAAGGCTGTTTGGATACCTCACATTTACCAACATCAAGTGGTGACAGTATTAGTGAGACAAAAAGCGTTTTGGACAGCACATCTGATTAATTATCTTTTGTTTCTTTATACATTTTTTATACTCATATTTGTATATTTTGTATAAAATAACTCTTGCATTGCATTCTATACAAGCTCTTTATCACATACATAATCATAAATGAAGTACTTTTTAGGTGATTTAATTTCATTGTCATACAGATTATTGGCCATAACTGTTATTATGTGTTATATATTTTCATTTAGTTTTTAGTTATACCTTATTATTATTTTGGTACAATTTAAACCTTGTTTATTTTATGGTCAATGGAAACATTCCAAATAGCTGTTTAGAGTGCTTTTACACATGATTTTTTTTGTTGTTACTGTAACAGCCTTTTGCTTTTAGCATTTTTTACTATTCCTTAGAGCCTTGTACAAAGTGTGTATTGGTTAAAAATACAATTATTTAGACCAACAAATGCTGGTCTGTGAGAAAAGTTATATAAGATTAATAAATACACTGAAACACGTTTTTCTAGTTACAAGCTTTTAGCAGTTTAGTGAAATCTTCTGTGAGAAAATACCGTAATATGCCACCCTCCCTCTCTTCTGTAGGATTAAAAAAACATAATTACTTTCCCATTTACTTGTGCCAAACCACAATTATTTAACATATAACTCTTTTACATCACAAGACAAGTTTCATTAGACAAAAAATCATTTTTGTAATATATATGCTGAAACAAGTTGCTCTGATTCATTAGACTGCATACAACAGGTAAATCAGGCTAACCCCCCCCCCCCCCCCACACACACACACACATATAACTCATTAAAAATACTAAGTTACGATGCCTCAAACCAAATAATATTTTATCACACAACCAATATATGTATAAACATTATAATAGCAAATTTTAAAAAAAATTTGCCGATGGGCACTTTGCCAATGGTTATTCGCACTCATCCTTTCCACATGTGACATTTTGGTCAGCCAGCTGTAGAAAAACTCCTTTTGTTTGGGAGATATTCAGCATTTAAATTTGCAAATTTTGGACATGGGAGCATTGCGATGAGCGCCACAACTAGACTCGCCAAGAGATAGGTATACAGGCCCTTGCAGTCTAGGTGGTGAAGCGGTAACGGTGAAATGGCGGCGGATACGGCGTAGCCGGTGGACAAAACGGGTCGGGACTAAAATCATGGGCACCGCCAGCGCTCAAACATTAAGAGAACTTGGTTTTACTCGGGATATTATTATCATGTTTATCATGTAAAAAGCATGGTAAGGAAGATTAAAACAAGCCATTCTGCATACTGCGTTTTTTATTATTATTATGCAGGGAGATTTTACAAGCGCACAGTTAGACTCAAATCAAATTTAAGTCAAAGCGCTATTTTATTTGGTCGCCTTTTCCTCGGCAGCAGCTTGAGCCACGGCTGTATTTGGGTTTGGTTTCGAGGTGTCGAAGGTGAACACCATGCAGGGTTCGGAGTCTGGGACCACCTTGTAGGCATTGTGCCATATGGTGTTGCAAAAGTCGGCAGCAGAGCTGTAAAACTCCTTGTACTTTTTACACACCGAGCCCTCCTTGCAGCTGTTAATTTCTAGAAAAAGTCACACAATTCAATACTATTTAGCATGATTATTATTTCTGGTGCATGTGGCTACCTGAAGGACAGTGACTCACTTTAAATTATTGTTGTGCTAGTTGTTTTTGAAGTAAATTTCACTTTATTATTTTATTAAAATGTAGTAGATTATCCGTTTGGATGAAATATACATAATTTACAAAGACGCCATCTGCATCTAAAGGGGATAAGGTCGTCTGAATGTCACACTTGTTTAAATCAACCAAAAGTATTGACATATTCACCAATCCCTGTCCCTATAATCTGATAACGTCACTCACCCTCACCGCCCCAGTCCATGTCAGTGATCCAGTTCCTATGGCAAGTGTATTCCTCTTTGCAGGCATCCCACCATTCTTCACATTGGCTGGCACAAATTGGCGCCTGATCAAGGTGATCGAAATCCGGATGTTCATACTGAAATGAAATCAGCGTGACAGATAAAAAACACGAGTGATAGACAGAGAGAGGTTGCTTTTCAGGTATCTTAGGGCGCATTCCCAGAGATTTAGATCGATCCAGAGATTTAGATTTAGATCGACCTAACTCCCTGGGGGTTCACGCTAAATTGCAGTCAGCCGAGCGAGCACCATAGTTAATTACCCCTTTACAGCTTTTAGTAGGCGGGACAGACGCTTAAGCCGGCTAAGCTGACAGTAATCTAGTGAGACTCCCCACAGGGATAGATCGATCTAAAATCTATGGGAATGGGGTCTTACTCATGGGGTATCTTCTCTTCATTACTTCTACCATGATTCCCCATCCTTTATATACGCAATATTTACCTTAGCAACTGTATACAAAATGACGCGAATTATTTTTATTTGGAGAAACGCATTCCAGAAAGAGAGAGAGATAGAGCAGGGAAACACAGACAGCATTAGATGTACGTACTGCTTTTACAATCCACGGGCCAAGGTTTGGTGAACAGGTATAGAAACATATTTCTTGGTGAGTTAGTCTCTCGCACTCTGGGGAAAGACGCGGTTTCTCTGGACAGTGGACAAAATTTACCATTAACTCCCACACGTGGTTCTCCAGGAAGTCTGCAGTTGAGTTCGTGTTGCAGCAAGACTTCTCTCGGAAACTTGGACACTGTAGAAAAAAAATACACAGACGTTGAAATGAACTTCATGTATTCACTGCGACTTGGCAAGATCTGTTACACTGTTAACTAAAAGCATAGCTTGTCATAAAGATGTAACGCTAATTGATTCCTAATTAGCAGATACTGTAATAGCAGCTTCGTATGTTATTAGATGTTTCAGAGATTTTGCATATAGTTTAAGATCAATTATTAATTTTTCATTGAAAAATCAAAACATTTGCAACATTATTGCTTAACATAAAATTGTTCGTGATTTTTATGTGTCTTTTATATTGCACATGTTGTCCCTCAAATGTATTTAAAAAAATCCTTAATAATTTGGATATTTTCTTATTGGCTTATTATAACTGTAAGTTAAATTTTCTTCACTCTTTTTTTTTTTTTTACATTTTTTGCTTTGTGTCTGTTTGGAAGATCTTGTGTGAAAACTTGGACGTTTGGCATCACAGTTTAAATTGTCCTTGAAAGAAAACATGTCTGACATTTATGGTATCATGACAATTTTCCTCAGACAATATCCCCCGGGCAACCCCCAGGACAATCCAAACAAGGAATATATGTTTATTTACACATATAAAGAAAAGAGTGTAAAGTTCAAAACATTTCATCCATTTTATTAATATTATAGTGTGATAATGCAACTCCATCATTAAACACAAATTGCTTCAACACATATATAGTGGCTCGTTCATTTTCATTTATGTTACATTCACATAACATTTATATCTATGGTGTTTGAACAAAGGATGATTATAAATGTCTGGAGCTGGTGTTATAAAACAATTCACCGTACCAGCATTGCTGCTTTAGTTTTTGATCATTATTATACTGACAGGGCTTTTTTACCTGTTAGTCTTTTCATTAAAATTGGCAAGATTTTAAGTCATCCAGCGTATTTATTTTTCATAGGTTTACAGGTCTTTCATATTCACTGTATTTCATAAGTTAAATGTCTGCAATATTTATACCACAGATTAAAGGTTGGCCTAAAATGATGCTCGTGTTTATTGTATGCTTTCGTTTTACTATTTATTTCCCGCAACTCCACAAATATTTCGCTACAGTTTCCCCAACGACATTTGTGGCATTATTTGGCCCCGTCACCTCGTATGTACGGCGCAGTCGCGAATTTAGAGAAGGGGTCATGGGGTCCTGAACCCCTCTTCGATTTCTGGTCCCCTCTTGAAATTAAAATTAGACTAGAATTAGACTAGCTGAATAATATTTCTAAACCGTATCAAATGGCACCGTCCGTCTTCTAAAATACCAAACATTTTCGGGGCACTTCATAGGGGCCCTAACCCCACGTCAAGTGTGTGTGTGTGTGTGTGGGGGGGGGGGGGTCGGCTTTGCATCCGCGGACCCCCATTCAAATGATCCTGGTTCCGCCCCTGTGGAGGGCATAAACATCCCCAATATCTGGTTTTTCTACATTTGAATACGTAAATTGCTTAACTTTGTAGTACTTTATAGTGAATCTTACATAAATGGCATCAGAGATCTTTCCTGTGCTAATGGGGCATGTGGGAATGACTTAAAATACTGCTGCATTTAATGACAGCTGCGTTACATTGACAGTGCTTCGGAGGAGTTTATCTAGTTCACTGCTTAAGTGGTGACTAACGTCTTGTCATTATGGGTAAATATTATCCATTGACTGCTTACAACTCACATACTGTACCTCTATGAAATTTAACTAGTCGATTACGGCAGTCTGAAGGAGACCAACATCAGGCAAAGAAATGTTAATTATGATTAAAAATAAAACAAATTCAATGATCTCTAGAGAATCGAAGATAAATAGTAAACGAGTTGAAAGCTATTTTAGGAATTTACCAAAGTTCACCTTATACATTGTACCAACAGGTACGGCGTCCTTAAAACATATTTTTCTACGTTTCTCAATCTCTTGTGGTTTTGGTATTAATAATTGACCATCTTATATTAAAAGATATACATATTGTCACTATTATACACCATGCACATAATGTATTCAACGAAACAAATGTCAGCGAACCTCCCTCTCCCCTTTTTTAGTCAAACAAATACATATACTTTTGACTTTTTTCTCACCCTCTCTCTCTCACACACAGACACATGCACGCATAAATATACATACATACATAAACAAGCTCTCACCTCCAAATCTGGCTCGGGTGATGCAACTGTCTTACTGGCCCCTTCTATTGGCAAGGTAATGCACATGCTCATATAGTCATCTGCGGTCATCGGTTCACCAGCCTGAATTAAGACTTGTATGCTAAATAACACGAGACTGAAGATCAGAATTGTCTTCATTATCATACGTGTAGAGTTTAACAGACTGAGGCTAGAGACTCTTCTCTTTGCTATATTAACGGTAACTTTTCTGACGTAGCATAGCGTTCATTGTTGTCGGTGTTATTCAACGCATTGAACTATGTGTGACGATTTCAAGCAATATAATTGGTCCTTATCAAAAGAGCCAATCAAATTGAAGTTACAGGCATACCGGTGACAATATTACCATCTAAACAACGGTGCACAATACGTAATAGTAGGCCGTCAGATGTATGTCTTTAGATAGAAGATTGTTTTGAAACATATAATTTTCAAAAAAATGTAATACTTGAGAAGCCTCAAACTGAAAATAACGAGTCGTATTTCATTGGCGGTATTTGTACATAACCATGAAGATATATGACCCGCCACTGCATGGCCTGGACATATCATCATAAAATATAATACAGCTTGAACTGAACACATATTATTTATTATGTATTTTTGTTTCCTTCCCATTAAAATCAAAGAATAGAAAACCAAAGTTTACATCCCTACGTTTGCTTCCAGACATTGCAGTTTTCAGTTGTGTTCTCAATGGCGAAAACATTCATGTCATAAAGGACAAAAATAGCTTCATATTTAGCAAGATTAACTGAACTCAAAAGTTGGAAAATTTGGTTTTGCTCGGGATAATAAGTTATATTCTATCATTTGTTTGTCATGTAAAGCATGTTAACGAAGATAAAAACACGCTTTTTCTGCATAGTGCATTTATTATAATTATGCAGGGAGATTTTACTAGTGCACAATTCGACTCAATTCAAGATTTAGCCACAACGTCGTTTTATTCGGTAGCCTTTTTTTCAGCAGCAGCCTGAGCCACGGCGGTATTTGGATTTGATTTCGAGGTGTCAAATGTGAATACTAAGCAAGGTTCCGAGTCTGGGACTACCTTATAGTCGCCGTGCCATATGGTGCTGCAAAAGTCGGCGGCAGAGCTGTAGAACTCTTTGTATTTCTTACACACCGCGTCCTTCTTGCAGCTGTGAAGTTCTAGAAAAAAGGCCACACAATTAGTATTATTCAGCATGATTATGTTTCTGGTGCATGTGACTACCTGAAGGGCAATGACTCACTTTAGATAATTGTTCTGCTAGGATAGCTGTTTTTGTAACGAATATGGCATTATTACTTTATTAAAATGTAGTAGAATAAACCTTGGCAGGACATATACATAATTTACAAAAGTGCCATCTGAATCTAAAGTGGGCTAGGTCATTTAAAAAATCACAACAGTTTAAGTCTGCCATATGACATTATTTATTCATGATTATCTTAATAATTAATCTAAAAGAAAAGCAATATGGACTCTTAGCAATCATATTTCAGAACCAATTTTTTCATCACGTTTTTGTCATTTTTACCAATCCCTCCCCGTATAAAGATGAGGTCACTCACTGCCCCAGACCATGTCAGTGATCCAGTCCTTATGACAGGTGTATTCTTCTTTGCAAGCATTCCACCATTCTTCACACTGGCTGGCACAAAGAGGTGCATGATTAAGGTGGTCCAAATCCGGATGTGCATACTGTAATGAAATAAGTGCGAAAGACGAAAAACGAGCAAGACACACACATACAGAGAGAGAGAATAAGAGAGAAATTGCTTTTAGGTACCTTACTCATGACTTCTTTTTATACGAGAAACGCATGTCATCTCAAACATAGGTATTAATCAACTCGGCTAATTGCAAAGTACCTATTCTTTGCATCCCGGCATACACATTCACACCCCCCCACACACACACACACACACGTACAAAGAGAGAGAGAGAGAGCAGGGAAACACAGACGGTCCAACAGACATCATTACATGAACATACTGCCTTGACAATCCACGGGCCGAGATTTGGGGAACAGGCATAGAAGCACATTTCCTGGTGCATTAGTCTCGCACAGTCCGGTGACAGGCGTGGTTTTCCTGGACAGTGGTCGAAATTTATCACTGACTCCCACACATGGGTCTTCAGGAAATCTGCAGTTGCGTTGGTGTTGCAGCAAGACTTTTCTCTGAAACTCGGGCACTGTAAAAAAAAAAAAAACACTTAAGTTGAAATGAACCTTATGTAATTGCCGCGAATTGGCAAGATCAAATACATTTAAGTAATATGTGTTACCTTAACGTATTGCTTGTTATAAAGAAGTAAACGCCACTTGAGATTCCTAAAGAGCAGAAACTGTACAAGTAGATACTTATGCTATTAGAGGTTCCAGAGATCGTACATATAGGTCAAGATCAATTATTAATTTTTCATTGAGACGTCAAAACATTTGCAACATTATTGCTTAACATGAAGTGGTACGTGTGCTTTAAATCAGACCCTTTGTCACCTAAAATGTGTTTAAAATAACCATTAATAATTTGGATGCTTTCTTAGTAGCTTTTTAAAACTGTAAGTGAAAATTCCGTCACTCTTTTGCCATTTTTTGTTTTGTTTCTGTTTGAAAAATCTTGTGTGAAAACTGAGACGTCTGATCTTGCAATTTTAATCGATAATGAATGAGATCATATCTGACATATGTACTGTCTATATCATTTTTATTTATGTAACATTAATGTCTATGGGCGGTGCCTAGAAGAGGGGAATTCAGCATGGAGGAAATGCAGAATGATCTGAAGTACTTGGCAAGTGATAGAGCACTTGGTCTCGGTGCTATCCCTTCAGAAATTCTGAAAAATGGTTGAGTAAAGTTACATGAAGCTATTTGAGAGTTACTCAACAAATGCCTGTTCTTTGTAGCTGTGCCCCAAGATTTTTGAAATGCTTTTATCATCACCATCTAAAGGAGAAAGGGTGACCGAGAAGAATTTGGTAACCATTTAGGAATATCTTTGCCAAGTTTTTGCTAAGATTGTGCTGAACAGATTGAAAATTATCGCAGAAGAAAAAACCTCCAGAGTCTCAGTGTGGATTCCGTTATGATCTTCACTCTACGACAACTCCATGACCAGGCAGCAGAACAGCACCAACCACTGTACATAGTTTATTTTAACTATTTAACATTATTTAATGCTATATAATATCTAACACCATTCTTTAATAGAGGGACCTTTCAATAAAAGCGGCCGCTACCGGCCAAATTTCGAACACTATTTATCTGTGTTTGTCATTTACTTATCCTTAGGCTTGGATTAATATTTAAGTTTAGTTTAGTTTATCTCACTGTAACATATGAAAATGAAAATGAAAATATGAATATAATTTTTGTGAATATGATATTAATGAGGAGACATAAAGTTTATGTTGCCTTCTTAAAACATTTGAGACTGTTTACCGAGAGACCTTGTGGAAGGTCCTGGAAACCCAAGGATGCCCTGACAAGCTTGTTAACACCTTAAAACAATTCCATGATAGAATGAAGGCACAAGTCTTCAGCCGTTGTGAAAACATAGAGGCATTTGCTGTCAATCATGGTGTGAAGCAGGGATGCGTTCCTGCAAGATACCTGGGGGCAGAGGCTGTCCAGAGAGAGCGTTGGCATGCCTTACTTAAAACGACCTTGTCAGTCACTGAACACCAGCCCCAGGAAGAATATCAATCTGCACACGACGGTTGATATCCAGCAACTAGTTAGAGCAATTTCCAATGCAACAGATGTAAGCATTTCTGCAAATCCCTAGCTAGTCTCAAAGCCCACATGAGAACCTGCCATAGATAGGCCTCTAGCTCAACTCAGTCAGTCATCTTCGGTTACGGAGGAGAGCCTTTTGATGCTGATGTCTGATGAACAAAGGATGATTACATAAGATGATCGGGGATGGAACTGATGTTGTAAAACAGTTCAAAGCACCAGCATTGCTGCTTTAGTCTTTGATCAATTATTCTACTGACAGGCCTTTTTTACCTGTCAGTCTTTTCATTAAAATTGGCAAGCGCGCACATTGTCAATGTTCACCTGCCTACGAGAAATACTTTTCCACTATTCTCAATCCTTTGTGGTTTTCTTACCAATAATTGACCTTCTTATATTTATAGATATCCATGTACCATAATTATTGTCACTATTACACACCATACACATAATGTATTCAACGAAACAAATGTCAGCAAAACCTCTCTCTCCCTCTTTTAGTCACACAAACACATGTAAGCGTTTTGACTATTTTTTCATTCTCTCTTTTTTTTTACACAAACACACACACACACACACACGCACACACACACATGTAGGCATAAACATACATTCCATATACACATGTATAAACAAACACTCGCCTCCAAATCTGGCTCAGGTGACGCTTCCGTCTTGCTGGCCCCTTCTACTGGTAAGGTAATACACATGTTCATATAGTCATCTGCAGTCTTCGGCTCATCAGCCTCAACTAAGACTTGTATGTTCAATAATACAAGACTTAAGATCAGAATTGTCTTCATTATCATACGTGTGGAGTTGAAAATATGATGTGGAATCCTCTTTTCTTTGCTAAATTAATGGTAACTTGTCTGACGCAGCTTATCGTTCTTTGCAGTTGGTGCCATTCAACGCAATGGACTATGTGGATGGAAACGAACGGGTTGGGCGTGACGATTTCAAGCAATATCATTGGTCCTTATCAAAAGAGAACTGATAACAAAAGAACCCTAAATGTGTTAAGGCCACGTGATTTAATAGAGACGAGCAATAGCCAATCACATAATCCCTAACCATAACATATGAGGTAGGCTTAAAGGATTTTTGTGCAACTTCCACTGGATATTATACGCTACAAGAACATCGTGATCAATTTTTTTTCTGAAAATTAAGACTGCAAGCAACGCGGAAAGTATCATCAGTTCACGAGTGAGGTAAAGTTTTCATATATTTTAACATACAAAAATTTAACCTGTTAGCACGCTGGACTGAAATAGGTCTCGTTTTTATCAGCAAGAAGGGCGGTGTTACAGGAATGGTAGCAATAGGGATGGACGTCCGGACTCCCATATGATAAGTACAGGTTAAGGTTAATCGCAGTATTGGGGTTAGTATATGGGACGAATGTCACCATTACAAAGTATTGGGGAACGGACTACGGATCCCAGCGGATCCCGGCGGACTACCATTTCCGATACAGCGGTACTGCGCGAAATACTCTTTTTTTAAAAAGTGATTTTCGTCCCATATATATAAACATAATATGCAAGGATATATTACTTACGAGGAGTGCAGGTAGGTTAAGGCAAAGCGTCTTTAAAAGCTTGAAATATATGTATATATACGCAGTTGAAAAACACAGTGGTTTTAAATCACATTTGTGCCAACTTTTATTAGCATGTTTTTAGTGTTTTAAATGTAAAAATGAATAGTAAATTGACAGCTGGTNCTGACAAGCTTGTTAACACCTTAAAACAATTCCATGATAGAATGAAGGCACAAGTCTTCAGCCGTTGTGAAAACATAGAGGCATTTGCTGTCAATCATGGTGTGAAGCAGGGATGCGTTCCTGCAAGATACCTGGGGGCAGAGGCTGTCCAGAGAGAGCGTTGGCATGCCTTACTTAAAACGACCTTGTCAGTCACTGAACACCAGCCCCAGGAAGAATATCAATCTGCACACGACGGTTGATATCCAGCAACTAGTTAGAGCAATTTCCAATGCAACAGATGTAAGCATTTCTGCAAATCCCTAGCTAGTCTCAAAGCCCACATGAGAACCTGCCATAGATAGGCCTCTAGCTCAACTCAGTCAGTCATCTTCGGTTACGGAGGAGAGCCTTTTGATGCTGATGTCTGATGAACAAAGGATGATTACATAAGATGATCGGGGATGGAACTGATGTTGTAAAACAGTTCAAAGCACCAGCATTGCTGCTTTAGTCTTTGATCAATTATTCTACTGACAGGCCTTTTTTACCTGTCAGTCTTTTCATTAAAATTGGCAAGCGCGCACATTGTCAATGTTCACCTGCCTACGAGAAATACTTTTCCACTATTCTCAATCCTTTGTGGTTTTCTTACCAATAATTGACCTTCTTATATTTATAGATATCCATGTACCATAATTATTGTCACTATTACACACCATACACATAATGTATTCAACGAAACAAATGTCAGCAAAACCTCTCTCTCCCTCTTTTAGTCACACAAACACATGTAAGCGTTTTGACTATTTTTTCATTCTCTCTTTTTTTTTACACAAACACACACACACACACACACGCACACACACACATGTAGGCATAAACATACATTCCATATACACATGTATAAACAAACACTCGCCTCCAAATCTGGCTCAGGTGACGCTTCCGTCTTGCTGGCCCCTTCTACTGGTAAGGTAATACACATGTTCATATAGTCATCTGCAGTCTTCGGCTCATCAGCCTCAACTAAGACTTGTATGTTCAATAATACAAGACTTAAGATCAGAATTGTCTTCATTATCATACGTGTGGAGTTGAAAATATGATGTGGAATCCTCTTTTTTTTTGCTAAATTAATGGTAACTTGTCTGACGCAGCTTATCGTTCTTTGCAGTTGGTGCCATTCAACGCAATGGACTATGTGGATGGAAACGAACGGGTTGGGCGTGACGATTTCAAGCAATATCATTGGTCCTTATCAAAAGAGAACTGATAACAAAAGAACCCTAAATGTGTTAAGGCCACGTGATTTAATAGAGACGAGCAATAGCCAATCACATAATCCCTAACCATAACATATGAGGTAGGCTTAAAGGATTTTTGTGCAACTTCCACTGGATATTATACGCTACAAGAACATCGTGATCAATTTTTTTTCTGAAAATTAAGACTGCAAGCAACGCGGAAAGTATCATCAGTTCACGAGTGAGGTAAAGTTTTCATATATTTTAACATACAAAAATTTAACCTGTTAGCACGCTGGACTGAAATAGGTCTCGTTTTTATCAGCAAGAAGGGCGGTGTTACAGGAATGGTAGCAATAGGGATGGACGTCCGGACTCCCATATGATAAGTACAGGTTAAGGTTAATCGCAGTATTGGGGTTAGTATATGGGACGAATGTCACCATTACGAAGTATTGGGGAACGGACTACGGATCCCAGCGGATCCCGGCGGATCCCGGCGGACTACCATTTCCGTTACAGCGGTACTGCGCGAAATACTCTTTTTTAAAAAGTGATTTTCGTCCCATATATATAAACATAATATGCAAGGATATATTACTTACGAGGAGTGCAGGTAGGTAAAGGCAAAGCGTCTTTAAAAGCTTGAAATATATGTATATATACGCAGTTGAAGAACACAGTGGTTTTAAATCACATTTGTGCCAACTTTTATTAGCATGTTTTTAGTGTTTTAAATGTAAAAATGAATAGTAAATTGACAGCTGGTTTTTCGGTGCACTAATGTATAAAAGAACTTCGGTGTAATAGCTGGTACCGGTGTTTTTTTACTTCTCTATCCTGGCACTTTTTCAGTTCTGTAACCTCGTCTGGTGAGGGGGGATATGCCAGGCCAGTGTTTTGAGCAAATGTGAGCGTAGCAAATTGTGTTGCATCATTTTCTGATGATACCACTGTGGGGAAAATGTACAGTTTGGATTTTTACCTTTTCAGATCTGCTGTGGCCAAGTGACATGGTGCAAAATAAGAAGCCTTGAGGCAGACTGACCCAAGTGTCATTTCAGGAAACCCAAGCAGTTCCATGATTAACGTTATGCTGGTATCAGTATTGACGACAAAGCAGTGGTGCACAATACGTCTAGTAATAGTAGGCCGTCAAATGTAAAGAAAACTATTTATAAACATGTAATTTTTAGAACAATTCAGTACTTGAGACGATCATGCCAGAAGCCTAATACTGAGAATGACATGTCATATCAAAGTAACCACCTGAACAGTGCTTTATTATATGTGTTAAAAAAACATATTAACGTAATTAATTCTGTTTAACCTTGCAAAATATTATTAGATTGTTTTTAAGGAATTTTCACCTACACAAAGGCTCCATCATCTCTGTATCGCCATGTCACCGTTGTGTAAAAATTGAGAAGAGTCATGCTAACACAAACAGGGTACTGGTTCTTGTGTGGAACCTGGTACCAAAACGGGTACGAGTTTAGGTCTGGGCTCTGGTTCTAAACATGTTATGGGTTCTGGTCCGGGTTGTGGCTCCAAACTTGGTTCAGATTCTGGTCAGGGCTATGGTTCCTCCCCAGATATGAACTCAATTGAAAATCAGTGGGTGGAAGTAACTCATAAAAGCGATAAACTCCTTTAATATTTCTGACCTATTCTGAAATTTTCTTCAAAATCCACCCATTGGTTTTTTAGTTAGGCTGGTGTCAAACAAACAGACAAACAGAGGTGAAAAGATAACAACCCGGCGGAGGTAAAAATACCAACTTGTTAACCTCATCTGCGCGTCTCTTTCTGTTAACACATCAAGTCAAAATCAATTCATCGGCGCCCGCGTTCATGTTCCTGAGGTGTTAAGTACAGGACATATATATTCACTTCGACTCAAGGACATCCGTCTTTTAAGGAAAGAAAACGATAAATATCCCGAAACCATTGCGAAGGAATAAAATCAGTTCCTACCGTCAAATTACAGGCGGAATGAAGACCAGTTAACAACATTTGTCTGTTAATGGACCGTCTAGTCACTCAAATTAGGCATATGCATATCTACGCCAAAGTAGGTCTGCCATAGTGGCAACATTTATGTAATGACCTGCTTTTATTCACAATTCATACAGTAGATTGATTTACATCTACGGATGCAGCATTAAGTGTCACGTGCTGTCAACGTTATGATGCAGGTATTGAAATGAAAACGTAAACAACGGTACAAAATAATAAATAGTAGGTTGCCAAATGAATGATAAGGAAGGCCTTTCAAGGGAATTTGTTATTTTGTTATGGATAGTCAATAAAATGCGCTTAAACATTTTATAATATACAGATTGCACGAATAATATTATTTATCGGTTTCATACATGAAGTCTAATATATGAGAATTTTCAGATCAATTTTACCTCGAGGGTGGATTGCTTCATTCCCCTCTATGAATGCACGTAAATTACCATCAATATGAATACCATCCACTTTAATAATTATTTTATTAAAAGTTAGTTTCTATAGACCTACTACATTGATCCAATGTTCTTATCCGAGATTGATCAAATTTACACATCAAATATATATTTTTTACATTGAAAACCCATTTGTGTGGTTCTGCACTTGATACGGCTCTGGTCCGGGTTCTGGTTCTAAACTGGTCATGGTTTCTGGTCCGTTATCTGGCTTTGTTTATCTTCAGATTTTGAAATTCATATTTTGAAGAAGAATATTTTTCAATTCCCTGGTGATAAATGCATGGCCTAGATATAGGTATGAAGAGTGCAATTTATTATTGATATAAATAAGGACATTACCTTGACTTGGTTTAAGCGGGGCCACGGTCACTGACACTGTGGCGGAAAAGCCAGAGATCAGACCATGCTTCTCAAAATGTGCCTCCCATATATATATATATTTGCATGTTGAGTTTTTAGTATGGCTCTCATTGGCGAAAATATTCATGTTGTAGAAAATAAAAAACGCTTCATATTGAGCAAGATTAGGTGAAACCATAAGTTAGAGAACTTGGTTTTCCACGGGATTTTATGTAATATATTCTACTATCATGTTTAGCATGTTAAAAAAAACGTGGTAACTGAGTAAAAATACCCCATTTTGCAGAGTGGGTTTTATTTGATTATGCAAAGAGATCATACAATTGCACAATTAGACTCAATTCAAAATTTTGCCACAAAGCGATTTATGTGGTCGTCTTTTCCTCGGCAGCAGCTTGGGCCACAGCCATATTTGGATTTGGTTTCGAGGTGTCGAAGGTGAATACCAAGCAGGGTTCTGAGTCTGGGACCACCTTGTAGGCTTTGTGCCATATGGTGGTGCAAAAGTCGGCGGCGGAGCTGTAGATCTTTTTGTATTTCCTACACACCGAGCCCTCTTTGCAGCTGTTAGTTTCTAGAAAATATCCACACAATTCAATATTGTTTAACATGATTTCTGGCACATGTGGCTACCTGATGGATAGTGCCTCACTTAAGTTAATTGATGTGCTGGTATCGCTGTTTTTGTAGCAAACGTCACTTTATTATTTGGTTTAAATGCAGTAGAATATACGTTGAAAGGATATACATAATTTACAAAAGTGCCATCTGAATCTAAAATGGGCTAGGTCATTAAAAATTACAACAGTCTGTCATAATGATTTTATTCATGCATGGTTATTTAAAGAATTAATCTAAAAGAAAAGTAATATAGACTCTAAGCATGAGTGAAGTATCTTCAATCATATTAATTCAGGTGATACGAAAATAGTTCAAACTGAACACAGACTACTGTACCTGTAAGCTGTGACTAGTGACCATTGCAGAATACCAAATAAATTCCATTGGAATAGCATATAGCTGTTGTTACCTAATTGGCGCTCAATTAAGAACATAGGAAGAAAAAGTTTGCTAAAAGAATGTTTCAAAACAGGAGAATAAATAGAAATGATCTACTCAGAACCAAAATTTTCATCAAGTTGTCGCCATTTATGGCGCCACTCACCGCTCCAGACCATGTCAGCGATCCAGTCCCTGTGACAAGTGTATTCCTCTTTACAGGCATTCCACCATTCTTCACACTGGCTGGCACAAAGCGGTGCCTGATCAAGGCGGTCGAAATCCGGATGTGCATGCTGTTACAAAATAAGCGTGAAAGACGAAAAACGAGCGACACACACTTACAGAGAGAGAGTATGACAGACAGATTGCTTTTTTAGGTATCTTACTCATGACATCTCTCTTCGTTACTTCTGTCATGTTCCCCCATCCTTTATATGCACAAAATTCACCTTAGCAACTGCATAATAAATGACAGGAATTATTTTTATACGGAAAAATGGATGTCAGCTCAAACACATGTGTTACTCAACTCGGCTAATTGCAAAATACCTATTCTTTGCATCCCGGTGTGAAGGGAATGGATGTCCGCCGTAATGCATGTCCGTGGGACATGTATTCTTAGAGATGAATGTCCTGCGGACACTAAGTCCTGGGAATGTATGTCCTGGCTCTTCCATTCCTAGGAACGCATGTCCTAGGACATAATTTCCTGGGATTTAACGTCCAGTGGACATCCATTACTTAGTATTCTAAGTCCTGCAGACAGGTATCGATGTCCTAGTCGGACGTATTTTCCCAGCTAGACTAGTAATAGACGTCTTCCGACATTTTCATATGAATGATGTGTTAATTTTAGAAGTTTTAAACGCGATGTTTAAGAATGTTATTACGCTTATTAGAATTATTTGTATACATGTACCTCTATAGGCCTACACACTTTATTCGGCTAACATAAGATATTTTACGTAAACGAAAAAAATGACTACAAATTGATATACATATATATTATTTCCGATTAATATGATAAAATACAACTGTATGTCTGGGGTACACAGCTTTGGATTTTGGCTCGTGCCCATTTCTAACTAATATGTGTTTGTCCTTAGACGCATCACATTACATTTTACGTTTTACGGGGTGTTTTTCGGTAAAATACGAGTGTGTGAAATAATACACAGCCACCCTCTCGTGATATACTCACAAGTGCGTGTTGAACACTTCTCGATGACGTTCGAGCTGTTCAGGTACTGATATACATATCGTTCGGGTGAAAGTTAATTATTTTATACTTAGTGCCTTGATATNTTTGTCCTTAGACGCATCACATTACATTTTACGTTTTACGGGGTGTTTTTCGGTAAAATACGAGTGTGTGAAATAATACACAGCCACCCTCTCGTGATATACTCACAAGTGCGTGTTGAACACTTCTCGATGACGTTCGAGCTGTTCAGATACTGATATACATATCGTTCGGGTGAAAGTTAATTATTTTATACTTAGTGCCTTGATTTTCATTGGGAATATTTGTAGTTAGAGAGACATGATATGCAGTTTGAGACTGTAAATGAAACGTGTATAAGTGTATGATAAATAAATTGAATGTGTCTGCTATTGTTTATACGTGTATTTTTACTATTAGTATTAAAATTCTTTTGAGCGCAATTTTTCCTTGCATATGGATCCCGAACTTCCCATTTTAATTCTTTGTGTTTTTCGGTGAAATTAGAAAGTATATGCTCTTTTGCGTACAATTATCCAATATTCACCCACGGCCTCGTATAATCACCCTAAGTTACTAAAGGAATTCTAAAAAAGCACAACGTTAAAAATTAAAAATGATGATATTTATATCAAACAGTTAAAAATCTCGTCTCATAAAAAAATCCAAATAGTATAACAACATGTAGTGCGTTTAAATGGAGAGTAAATTAGGATAACATTTGCATATAGAATAACATCGCTGCTTTGGATTCGAACTCACTTACGTTTCTCTACGCTGTTGGTAATTCATCCAGCCGTCTTACTGATGAGCCTGTGTGGAAGCTGCTGCCAGCCGACCGAAAATTACCGATACTTATGGCGCCGTGTTTATAATTATTGTGCGGACATTAATTATGTAGGACATGCGTTTCTGTGTATATGTGAAAGGAAATTATGTCCGACAGGAATACATGTCCTAGCTGCGTATAAATACAGCTGGGAATCTAGGTCCGGGTAGGACAGTACATCCTAGGGAACGCACGTCCATAGGACATGTTTTCCCAGGAACGGAGGTCCGGAGGACTTCATTCCTGGGGGACATGCATTCCTTTCACACCGGATCAAACTGCAGATACAGTTAGCAAAACATTGGTGAACAATTTCATTGCTAGGTTTGGTTGTCCAACCATCATACATTCCGACATGGGTGCCAATTTTACAAGTGAATTGTTTAGTAATGTTTGCAGTTTACTGTCTATTAACAAAACCCAAACTAGTCCGTACAGGCCGTGTTCGAATGGCGCCGTCGAGCGTCAGAGTAGGACTATCATGCAGTGCATACGGTGTTATTTGGAAGGACATGACAGTAATTGGGTTGAACATTTATCTTTAATTACAAGCGCGATCAGGGCGGTCCCTAACAGACAAATAGGTCTGACCCCAAACATGTTGATGTTTGGAAGGGAAACTAGACAGCCCATTGATTTTACGTTTGGTTTAAAATCTATTCAAGGAGATGTTGAACCAAATAGCTATGTAATGCAATTAAAAGAAAAGCTAGAGAGCGTTCACGAGTTGGCCAGAAAATGTCTCGGCGAGAATTTAAAGACACAAAAAGCGTACTATGACGCAAACGCGAGGCAGACACAATATTGTAAGGGCGACCTAGTGTATAGGTATAATAACACGTCGAAACCCGGTCGTTCAAAGAAATTACAGCCTGTATGGCTCGGCCCTTTCAAAATTATTGAGGTGCTTTCTCCAATTTTGTATAAAATAAAAACAAAAAGGAAAGTTGTGGTGGTGCATCATGATCACTTAAAGCCCTGTAAGGGAAGGGGGGCCCTAAAACCCTCCAAAGCTAAATGTGTGACTCCTGATAACATGGGTGATGACCAACCACAAAGTGATGGAACTGTCAAAGATGCTGTTGTTACGAGAAGTGGCAGAACAGTTATACCTCCAATACGTAATTGTTGAGAGGAAGACTCAGAACTAACGAGGTTGTTATTATCATATGTGACAGCGATATCTACTACAATATTTTATACCAAGGACAATTTACTGAGATAATGGGACATTTTCTGTGAACTTTATTGACTTTGAACCAAGCATTGACTATGTTTTACATGCATATATATTGGCTACATTAAACTGAGCTTGTATTCGCACTTAATATTGTATTCACATAAGTGACACAATTATACATTTTCTTTATCATGGCATGTAATTGTATGTATTTTGAAACTGTTTGGATGCACAGTACAGTCTTGTGAGTAAAGTGCATGTGTCATGTTGATAATGCAGATTTAGCATAATAAGTAAAGTTCATATGTGCCGTTTATGCAGTAATGCATGCACATTTATATTTAAAAAAATATGTGACTTGAAAGTATGCACTGTTTCACACTACATGTTACCTCAGCTATAAGGAAATAATGTATTTATTTGTGCCGTTGATATGCAATGTATATGCACAATTATTATTTACTATGCACAAAAATAGATCTCATTATCACTAACTGTGCTGATGTAAGGCATATAATACATAACATTGTCATTTAAAGCAAGGGTTGACTAAGATGCTGTTAATAAAGTGTAATCCGTATGTATGTTAAAATTATTTCAACAATTGTAATTACTTCACACTTATCTTATTCATCAGTGGTTTGTATATAAGCATGTTTTGAAAATAAGATGGGGAGGAATGTAGTGTTTTAGTCTTTGTATTGTTTACGCGTCACGCCAGGTGTCGCATGACACCTGGTACCATGTGACTTGACGCGGGAATCTTGAATGTAATAAAGCAGAACTCACAACAGAAATTTGTATTCAAATGCAAGGTGCATAAAGAATTTAAGCCTAGGTTGCAAAATAATAAATGCTTCTCTTGAAAGAGTGCAACATATTGAATATCATTTTCCTTAAACAATTATCAGCACAGTAAACACATATCATGGCAAGTTATAATTTGTACTAAGGCTCTATTTATATTATTATTCATTTTACTATTCATTATGTACCGGTATGTACCCATGCAGTACAATCATCTCAGCTCGTCCAGCTTCAGACATTTCTGTTTTTTTTTTTATATCTTGTTAGGTTTTTGTCAAAATGGTAGTTGAAGTATATTACACATGTGAATTCGCGTGCCTTGACGTCTTGACAGTGTCTCAAACTTTATTTTTAACCACGAGATAAATCAGTTCAACTTTAGGAATTCCATAAGACGTCTGTCTTCAACTGCTTCCTCAAAAGCTTGGTAATCACCAAGGTATTCCTCGCCGTTAAAAAGCTGTGGAGGAACAGTAAACGGTCCTGCTTTTTCCCTCATGAATTCCTTAGCGGCGGCGTTTGAGGAGATATCGATGTACTGTGCGTCGATGTTCTCCCCGCTGAGAACCATCTGTATCCTATGTTGTTGTTTCTTGAGTTCCAGGTTGTCTGACACGCTGCTGATGTACACACGAATCCCATTTGTGGGCAGACGATCGCACTCTGTAAAGAGGAAAATGAATACGAAAAGGTATCTGGAACACGTAGCCTAAAACATGTCAACATATATTGGATAAATGAATGAAAGAAATTTAATAAAAGTAGAAAATTATTAAGGTAAATATGTGCTCGCTGCCCTTTGTCGCTGTTTTGTATGTCTGTTGCCGAATCTACTCAATTGAAATATTTTTGCTTTAAACTCATGTTGTGAAAGAATATGTTCCTAATATAGTCAACCCCCTCCCTAAATTGGTTTGTATCAATGTATTACGATTTCTGTCGACCAGCACACAACGTGACCAACGTAAATTTAGCATATGGCCAACATTTTATCATTTCATTTGCTCTCATCAAACGTGTTATCTCTCAGAGTGCACGACCGACGACGGCTCCGGCAGACGCAGGTGATGGCTTGGAACTTACCAATAAACTCCACACAGGCAGCCATAATGGCTATGGCCAAAACGTAGCTAAGGAAGGCAGTCTTCATGGCGTACTACAGCAACCTGGAAAGACACGGGGGCATAGCTTTTATCTGTATCTCGCATACAATGGTCGGATGTTGAGTCTCGTCGGAGCCCTTTTGAGTATATTCTTATTAAATTTAATACAGAAGAAGAAGAAGAGAGAGAGAGAGAGAGAGAGAGAGAGAGAGACGGAAGGGGAGATAGGGGTGAGGAATGTTACAGGCAAACAGACCATGGAAAGACCTGTTATTTATTTAGGTGTCACTGCAAATGCATCGATAAAAAACCTTTAATTTTCCCAAAGGATGACTCACTAATCAACAATCTGGAATATTGACCCGTGTTGATGCACTAACCCTAAACCACCTTCCTTGTTTCAGTTCTACTTGCTGAGGGCGTTTATGAAATTCCCTATGGCATGTCTATCGTAAGGCTCTTACTATACTGCTTAACAAACTGTAGTGTAAACACATTAATAGAAATCTAAAATGACCCAGTGTCCTTGAGTTTCATATGTTTCCGTCGAAGCTCTGCGACACACTTTCATTGTACTGTACAATGCATAAAGTAGGTCGACTCGATTACATATTTGTGACGCAACAAGATGTCTTTTCACGATTGCTTTATTAATAAATGCCCATATTATACTTAAAACACCGTATGGTGTCAACTGTAAATATTAATATGCTATTAGGGTATTCACTACTTACGGAGTGAGATTGTAGATCACTGTGTATTGTGTCTCTATTTTGTTTTTGTTCGTCTCTGGTACCGTTCACGTCTGCACGGTAGCTAAGCACAGGATTCAAACGACTGCGCATGCGCAAAAGTGTTTTGTTTGCAATAAAAAAAGTGGGTGAAATTGACAAAGCCAGCCGGTGTTAACCGTTTGTATGATTTAATCTAATTTGCTTCCTGGTGTCGTTTTGAGAAATTATATTGGAAATATTTTGTTGGTATTTGCCTCTTGTATTAATAGTGTTATATGTGTACCTTAGGAAATTTTCCACCACTCTCTCACCCTTGATAAAGACACAGTGCTTGATCGCTAGGGTGAATGTTATTTCTAATTGCATTAAATAATGTAGGAAGGTTAATTTTAGGCACTACATGTCAGAAAACCCAACAAGGATCGACGTAACGCATTTAACTTTCGATGCCACGAAATGATCAACAAATTTAATTTCTCGAAAGCGAGGCAAAGTCACTAATCTACAGGAGATGATTTATAGCCTCGTAAAAATTAAATGTTTTATTAAAAATCTAAAAAGCGCTAAACCAAAATACTTCTTGGTTGTAATTGGGATCTTTAATGATAATAAATTTAATCACACATCATTAAACATAAAACCCTACATCGTCTTATTTATTAGACAATTGATATTATGTAGAACTTGGAGACTAAAAACACCAAAGTTGTCTAGTTTCACATCGAGGCACGAATTTTTGTTCGTGTGCTCAGTGGCTGTGGTATGAGTTGTAGGTTATACGTCACTTCCGGCCTTCCTTGTTTGGTAACTTTGAAGCAAGACATTTGCACATAAGAGAAAAACGAGTTTATTTTTCAATTTTGGATCATTTGAAATTTTTCTAAATACATTTCTAAATTTAGAAATTAATTTGTTCATGTACCTTTAAATTGCTGTGTTAATTATTTTTTTATATCATGTTGAAATTTTACTGCCTGGGGCTAGATTTACGTGGCCTCCCCCCTGCTGCGTTTTAGTGTTTATTTCAGCCGACTGACGGCAGCACCTTATAGGTCATGTCATGTCACGTCATGTCATGGAAGGCTACATCATCAATGTACCCTGATTTTTTAAAATTATTTTTAAGCCTTGAGTAGAAGTGTTTAAACCAGAAGTATTGTTGAAGCATGGAAGGTACTTAAGAAAATTAAACGTTATAATGGAAGTGGATGGGATTTTTATAGTAGTTTGTAATCTGTACTCGCCGGGATCAGGCGGGGAAGTTGGGCTGTCCACCTGGTGTGCGCAGTACTTACCATAATTGCGTGCTCTCCGCGCAGGGAGAGTACACCGGGTAAAGGAAGGAAAATGCACTACCACAACACTATTAATGATTAATAAAATATATACGTGGGTGTTTATATCAAAACACTTGCCTGACTAAGGAAGAAGGAGACGGAGAGCGAGAGAGTGCAGTCTTTGTATCGTTCTCAGCTTGTTCTTAGTTGTATGAGTAACAGCCTGTGTCGTGCGTAGTGGGCGTGACTGTCTATCACCCCATTTCCATAGATTAGATCGACCTACTTTAGATCGACCTAACTCCCTTGGGGTTCACGCTAAATAGCTGTCAGCCGGGCGGACACGAAAGTTAATTACCCCTTATAGCTTGTAGTAGGCGGGGACGGACACTTAAGGGGGATTATCTGACAGTAATCTAGCTAGACTCCCCGCGGTGATAGATCGATCTAAAGTTGTGGGAATAGACCCTATCTCTCTACAGACAAGGGGCGAGTAAAACCCCCTTTACACTGGACGGCGTCCTTTATGCGTCCTTTATGCGACCATGAAACTGGCCAGGACGCCGTCGGACGCTCAAAGAACGCACAGTGATCGCCAAGGTCGCACAAAGAACGTTCAAGCATCGCCGAGGACGCCATGGACGCCGCGAAAGTTTAAGCATGTTCAAAACAATCGCAGAGAGAACGCGATGTAGGATGGTCGCTCAATGGACGCAGAAAGGACGCACAGGCATCACCGTAGTCACAGAGAGAACGCACAAGCAGCGCCGCGGTCGTAGAAAAGAGGCACAAGCATCGCTTTGGTTGCAGAATGAAAACTCAAAGATCGTCCAGTGTTCGACACGTAGAACGTTGTTTTTTTTTCACTCTCAAACGGGGCCGTGCTGAGGTATTTTTCACCAGACAGGAATTCTAAGGGTAACAGTAGTCTCACATCAGCCTCCCATTGTTTTTCCCCTAAAATTAATGAAACAATCCATTTTTTGAGGTAATTATTAAACGAATATTTTTGCATTTTTACAAGATTAATTGTCAGAACTTTTTGCAGAATGCTTCATTTGAAAACGGATTCAAACATTCTTTGTCGTGTCAGTCATACTTTCTCGTATTCGGCGCCTGTCCATCCTTCTTATAAGGATAACAATGAGCATCTGGCTGATTATCAGTCCATGCAGACCTTGCATCACTATAGTTTCAAGCGTTTATTCCCATTTATTTGTTTTGTGTGCTGGAATTGTTCTTCATTGGATGACCTGGTTAGAACCGATGAAACGATGAGTTAGAATATAGAGAAGGACGCCCAAATAACGCTCATCGGTCAAGCAGGATGCAGAATGATCGTAGAATAGACGCCACTGATCGCCGATGAAGGTACAGAGAACGCAGCAAGAATGCTCAATGGTCTCTTAAACATCGCAATGGACGCCTTGGGTTGCACAGGGGACGTACAGTGGAGGCAGGCAGGTTGCTCGCAGTTTTACAGGTAAAATCAAGATACGGTCGTTCAAAGGACGCACAAGGGACGCAGACGCCTTTACACTGAGACACGATTTAATTGCTTTATCGACCTTTGAGCGTCCTGACCACATTTTTGAACGCATTTTTGACGCCGTCCAGTGTAAAGGGGCCCTTAGGAATGCGTGTGTGTGTGGGAGAGAGAGAGTAACGTGAGTCCCACAGTACTCGGCTTGTGGGGAACCCCCTTAAAACATCCCGGGGCCCCCACATTACATAAAATAACCCTTTTATAATAAAACCCTAGGGGTTGGGCTCAATGGGCTCACAACTTTGGATAACGCTATCTGTAATACTGCTACGGAGATTCCCAGGTTCCTTGTCTTAAATTCTGCACACGGAAAAGAATGAAACGACTCCATGTTGTAACTTCAACAGAATATATTTTGCTACACTAAAAGTTACATGATACAAGTATGACTTCTCTCTCCTTCTCTCTCAACATCCTCCTCTAGATTTCAGTTTTCAGATTTCTTTATACTAAACTTTATCAGTTAAACTGTCCATCACGTAGCTTAGAAACTGATTGGTTACTTCATACACAAGTCCACCTTCTTCCAGGTGGGCACTCCTAATAACACCCTGTAATCTATTTCTAACAGATTACTGGCTTCGAAACAAAGGACATTAAAATTTGAACTGCAAGGTGTGAAGCATTATCTGAACAACTTGTACAACTTGGCTTCCCCTGTCTGAATTTTATCAAACAATGGCTTCCTCTGATTGAGTTAATACAACAACATGAATGTAAGTTTTAAAAGTACTAATTACACTTTTTCTATACACTATGGTTCCTGACAGGCTGGAAGATCAGTCAAACAGCGTTGACGCCTGGATGTGGCGATAACGAGCGCGGCTGTACGTACATGTCGTGATTATATGGGGAGTTACGGGTCACGTTCGGCTTGGTTTTTGCTAAGTGCGTTTAAGTTTTTGCTTCCGGAGGTGGATGTTTTGGGTGGTGGTATTTGGAAATGGATTGTCTGGGCTAGAGGCGGTGCTGGTGGTGGTGGTATGTTTTCCCACAATATATCCAGTCACCCTGTTTCTGCATTTTGCAGGCTTGACAGAGGAAAAAGATGCATTTTGATAGATAATAGATCGAGCGTGTTGCCAACAATTCAAGGTCTACATGTTCTACGCAAATTTAAGCAAAACTGTTTTTCATTTCCGTGTATAACTGTTTATCTTATTTGTTATGTAATTTTACTATTTTGGACATTTAACTCTTTTAAAAAATATAATTACCATTATTATTTTGATATTTAAACCCGGTCCAAACGCGGCATGAGATGTTACCACCCTCTATTGGCTGCAGTCTGTGTTATCCTAAGATAAGGCGTCAAATTGTTTTAGCCCAAAACAATGGTGCTTTACAGAGATACATTAACTAGAAGTGCTAAGTCAACATGCTGGCCGGTGTATGAAAGGATGAGGAAACCATTTATAAGGCTTTAAAAAAAATGAAAATCGAATGCCAATATTTTTTCATTTGAATAACGAATATTTTGCTTCATTAGCGCATTCATTGTGCCTTTTTAAAACAAAATGGAATGGTGTTTGTCTTTCTTTTCTTTTCTTTTTTTGACAAAATGCTTATCTCTCTGTCCCCTCAAATATGGACCAGTAGTTGACCCGCAGATGATACACTGGTCTCAGAGCGATTTTACAGGGAGTTCAGTGGTCAGAATGCGTTAGGTGAGCGTGGATCATCTCCCATAACACAATACCTGTTAAAACCTGGATAGGCCAACAACGCTATCGGGTATGTGCATAGCGTGTCCGCTTTTCACTATCAGTGCTTATGGTACCGTGAAACACGTGCGATAAACGATGAAATTGCGTATTTTGTACATGAGGGAACGTGCTGAATCTATCAAACAAGGGCTCATTCCAAATAAAACCATCGCTCTATCGATCCAAATCCGAGGGGACTCTTGCTGAATGGTAGTCGTGTGTGCATGCCCTCGGGGACACGTGCAACACCACACGCAGTAGAAACAGGTTTACTGCGCACGTGCGACATTATATGTCGAAATGTGTATTCAATCCCAGATGCATAAAGAATTTAAGCCTAGATTGCAAATAATATTACTTCTCTTGAAAGAGTGCAACATATTGAATAATTTTCTTCAAAAAACCTCAGCACAGTGAACACGTATCATGCATTCAAGGCAAGTTATAATTTGTACTAAGGCTTTATTTATTCTATTATTCATTTTACTATTCATTATGTACCGGTATATACCCCTATTATACAATCCTCTCAGCTCGTTCAGCTTCAGACATTTCTGTTTTTTAACATCTTGTTAGGATTTCGTCAAAATGGTAGTTGAAGTACATTATACATGAATTTGCGTGTCTTGACGTCTTGACAGTGTCTAAAACTTCATTTTTAACCGAATAACCGAGATAAATCAGTTCAACTTTAGGAACTCCATAAGACGTTCGTCTTCAACTGCTTCCTCAAAAGCTTGGTAATCACCTAGGTATTCCTCGCCGTTAAAAAGCTGTGGGGGAAGACTCGACGGTCCTGCACTTGCCCTCATGAATTCCTTGGCGGCGTTGTTTGAGGAGATATCGATGTATTGTGCGTCGATGTTCTTCCCGCTGAGAACCATCTGTATCCTCTGTTGTTGTTTCTTGAGTTCCAGGTTGCTTGACACGCTGCTGATGTACACACGGATCTCCTTTGTGGGCAGACGATCGCACTCTGTAAAGAAAAAAAAAGAAGAAAAGGAAACTGGAACACGAGCACATAGCCGAAAGCATGTCAACATTCATTGGATAAATGAATGAAAGAAATTTAATAAAAGTAGAAAATTATTAAGGTAAATGTGTGCTCGTTGCCCTTTGTCGCTTGTTTGTATGTCTGTCGCCGAATCCACTCAATTGAAATATTTTTTCTTTAAACTCATGTTGTTAAAGAATAGGTTCCTAATATAGTCAACCCCCTCCCTGACTTGGTTTGTTTCAATGTATAACGATTTCTGTCGACCAGCACGACCGACGACGGCGCCGGCAGACGCAGGTGATGGCTTGGAACTTCCCAATAAACTCCACACAGGCAGCCATAAAAGGCTATGACCAAAACGTAGCTAACGGAGGCAGTCTTCATGGCGTACTACAGCAACCTGGAAAGACACGGGGGCATAGCTTTTATCTGTATCTCGGATACATTGGTCGGATGTTGAGTCTCGTCGGAGCCCTTTTGAGTATATTTTTATTAAATCTAATACAGAGAGAGAGAGAGAAAGAGAGAGAGAGAGAGAGAGAGGGTCAAAGAGGTAGAAAAAGAAGCGAAGTAAGAAGGAACGAGGGAGGGGAGATGAAGAGAGATTATTTTCATGATTTCATCGACGCTCCACATCACAATTTAAATACAATATGAGAGAACTGGTAGTAGTAGTAATTCAACTCCGATCATGCATGTATTTGTTACTCACGACAGTCGGTCTTTTCCATTATCGCGTTATTTATGATATAAAATCGTAGTTAACCAAACACATTACTGTATCACCTGTAATGTTATTTATGATTAATAAACTATATACTGTTAGCATATTATGTCACTTACCTGACTGAGTAACAAGGAGAGAGCGAAAGGGTGTGGTCCTTTACCGTTCTCACTGGTGGGTGTGACTGTCACAGGCGAGACAATACGCCAAGAGATGTATCCCAGAACATCTGGAGCCTCAGTGATAGGTGTTCAAGGCATATGTCATCAGAGGGTGGCAGTGTGCATGTAGAGTTTTACATGCATACCGAGAGAAAAAATTCTCATTTCACCGTAAAACACCCCTTCAAACGAATAAAGCTAAATACTATCACATTCTCTAAATACATTTAGTAATGAACTCGGCGGCCAACTCCCGTCAATTGCTTTTACGAAAGGAAAATTTGTTTAAATGTTGTCATAATTTAGTTAAGAAGGTCAAGTTTTGAACAGTTTTCAATCAGCCGTTGCCACTCTGCCATTCTGCCAGTCTGAGCTGGCCATTCCCTCGAGTTAGGATATCTGTTGAACAAATGCGCAATGGCGTACCTGTCGCCTTTCCGTAGCAACGTGGAATAAATCTACTTTTAATGATAATTCTTCGGCGGTTTCAGAAGGTGCTAATATTCAAAATCATTTCAATGCTTATTGTACAGTTAAAGGTGAAATACATTTGTTTCTAAATGGCATTTCTGATGAAAAGCAGGGAATGGAGAGGAAGAATTAAAAAAAAAATTAAAAAGATAAAAAAACACAAACTGCGCATTCACAAATTATTTCTGACGATATTTCTAAAATCATTTATTTACAAGCTTGTTTCATGTACATTTGATTCATTGAAGGTAAAATCACTCGTCGTACTGTGTCCTTTTTTTATAAACATTTTTAACTATATCAGTGCTAAAAAAAAAATTGTATTTTTATAATACAGTAGTATAACCTGACTGTAAAAAATAGTAAAAGAAATAATTAAATTGGTTTTGTTGTCGCTTTTGAACCTCTGGATGAAATTGGTTAGTGTGTGGAATTTAAACGTACATAATGAATTATTTTACTCTCCCATTATGTTATAACTAATAGTTTTTTAGCCAATATCATCACCTTCCAATATAACAGTTATAATTTCAGAAATATCCATGATTATGTGTTCAACAAATAATGTTCATGAACACTTTCGCTGTAATTCGTCTCTCTTTTTCTGGTAAAAATGATGTTGCTTGGTAATGTCTGTTATAGTACTTAGATTGTAGTTAAAAAACATAGCGAAAGGTTTTCACCTCGCCTAGCCACTCTCCCACTACAAGCTGTCCTTTGTTATCAATGGCCACACCTGCTGGTGCTGAAACCTGCTGTGGACCCACCACGTATCTCAACAGTTGACCATCTGAAGTCAGAACAACCACCCTGTTATTCAACAGGTCAGCAATGAAGATGTGCCCCACGCTGTCTGTACAAACTCCCCAGGGGGAGTCCAGGTATCCATCACCTGAGCCTCCCTCACCTGGTGTACCATACTGGAACACTACATCGCCCTGGGGGGTCACTCCATATACACAGTGTCCGCCCCTGTCACCCACCACAATGGTGTCACGACATGGGAGCACTGCAATGTATTGTGGATTATTACACATAGGAACACTGATCTTATTGATAAGATTGTACTGCACAGCGTCATACACACAGACACATTTATTGTACTTGTCACAGACAAGTATGTGTCCATTGTTGTCCACTGTAACACCCCAGGGCGCAGACATGTCACCCTGACCAAATGTTTGGACATGTTTCCCGGAGGAGGAATACACTCGGCATCCATAATCACATGTAACCACCAGTCTGTCATCACTGAGCACGGTGACACCCCTGGGATCTGATACATACACCTGGAATATCACCTCATGAGATGGTGATATCGCTGTTAGTTTATCTGATTGCCTGGAAACTAAATATATTGTTCCACTTTGACTGCACGATATGTCCCATACATCTTCCATACTGCTATCAAGCTCACCCACCAAAGATGCAGTACTTAGCCATTCTAACTTATTCACGCGACCAAAGAAGTCCGCTGGAAGTTTGCCTTTACTGAAACTTATCTCTGTTGTTTTTACATGTACGGTGGGTCTAATATTGTTCAATTCTTTCATCCTTGCTTGGATATTTTTAGCGTGTGTCATCAACTCCGTGTGAGAGCCACGTTGAACAAGCTGTTTGGCAAACTCACATGTGGTGTGGATGGATACTTTCTGTAGTTGAACACGATCTTTCTCAGCCTCGAGTGACTTCATGTGCGTTGCGGCGTGGTCTTTTGCTTCTGCTATCAATTGAGCAGAAATACGCTGAACCTCTTTTATAATATCTGCCTCCTGTTGTTGTATGTCGGCCACCGTTTTGTTTACGACGTCAGTTGTATCTTTCTGTTGCTTAGATATTTCCGACTCTGCTTTTTCAAACAATGCAATGTTCTTCGATACATTATTAAAAGCACTGTTTATTTTCTTTTTATGGATTTCTGCTACATCTGCAATGTCTACACAGTTGTGTTTGTTGTGTTTGGTGAGAATACAGTCACGACACACAACAACATCGTCATCAGTGCAATAAAAGGTTATCTGTTGTCCTTTGTGTTTATCACAAAATCTCGTAGCGTCCATTTCTTCCTGGACTTGCTTATCATGATCAGACACTGAAATCATTGTGTGTCCCTGCAGAAATTTTATAGCGTCATGCTGTTTTTGTTGACAGTTCTCACAGAAAAAATGTTTGCAATCTTGACAGTAAAATTGAGCTACTTGTAAGTGACAGTTACCGCATATTTTGTTTTTATTCTCTGTTGTCAACATGAAGTCCTTCACTTTGGACAAAAAGAAGTTACGGACAAGTTTCTCCAGCCCACCTGGTGGAACAGGCGCCTCCTGGCGGCACACTGGACACGCGATATTGCCTCCAGTCCCACTCGCTGCCACGTGCTGGGCAAGACAAGCCAGACAGAAAGTGTGATAGCATGGGAGGACACGCGGGTCATCATACTCATGAAGACAGATGTGACACGTGAGAAAGTTGTCACTGAATACATCATACAGCTTCTTGGATGCCATGACTTAAGTTCAATAGTGGTTACCTACAGCCAAAAAGTAGTATAATGTGACTCGTCACTTTAAAACATAGTGTAGTCTCTCGTATGGCGAATTTTCTATCGTTGACTGGATTGTTTCACACTGCGTCTGTGTTATATACAAGAACACCAGGCCGCGTCACCTGACTGGGTGATGAAATCTGTGCAAGGGACGGTGAGGGTTGCAAGGGTAGCCTACACTTTGATGACCGACGCGCCGAAGAGTCTTAAATCACCTTACAATGACATTGTGTTAAGATTGGCCTGCATTTACATGTAGAAAGGATTACGAGAAAGGTGACATTTTGTGAAATTTAAGTCAATTCTTTCTGTTAGAGACAGCAAATGTATTATCCTCTCGCCACCCTCTTTGGACCCATGGACTGTAACAGAATCATCTGATGTTATTAAACATTAACGTGTCTATAATTTATTTCTGGTAAACATGATAAGAGACAATGTTTGAGATAGGCAAGTGCAATTAGTTTGATTTCTTTAATTGTCTTAACGCTCAGCCTGCTGTTCAGACAACCCTTCTAACGACATCGTTTCGGTGCGGTGTCGGTAGGCCTAGTTTTCAGTTTCTCTTGTAGATCTTTATTTTACGTGTGTAACAGTCGCACAAACTCACCCCCCCCCCTCCCACACACAATCCCCTGGTTTGATAAAGGTAACCTGATCAAGTATTTTTTTCTTTTAACTTCCGATTGCTTCCCTGTATAATTAAAAAGATTATAGTTTCCACGCCTGCAAATATTGCAGACATTATTCATGAATATTACATCAAAGTATTATGGATTTTATCTGCCAAGTATCTTTGTAAAAATAAATAAACTAAAATGCCATTTACTTCCCTTTTGATTACATCCCCTCAGGCAGTTTCATGGGTTTGCATTTTAAACGGTATTTTGGTTAAATAAGAAAAAAAAACTGTAGTTTAATGAGCGAAAGATATGTTTCAAGTGATTTTCCAATATCATTTCCTCCTCGGCAAAAAGAAAAAAAAAATACTTGCATTCAAGTGTAATAGCCAATTATCAAGTTGAATTTAAAGCACGGGTGTTTAGTTTATATTCTTATGTTGAACACATTCTAGATGGTTCATTTAAGCCTGCACTAACTGTACACTTGGGTGTACGTGAGAACACACCTCACTCGTCCTGATAGCCGGAGTCACCTGAGCTGTAGGCCGGACCACGTGGCACTTATTACAAGAGATAGCAGAACTGAAGAAGTTAATCAATCAATGTGCTGATTATCTGTGAAATTATTCAAAGTAGGGACTTTGATAACATTTTGTTCAAGGAGGTGTTGTTTACCGCTCAACACTAGGACAGGAGAATGTCAATGTATAAGCAGTTATTACCTTACCCGCCCGCCACTACTAATGTCTAACATGTTATTTAACGGGGTTTTGGAACTTTTCAAATACCTTCAAACTATGGTTCTTTACGTTTCCACTAACTGTAGACTTGGGTGTACGTGAGAACCCACCTCACTCGTCTTGATAGCCGGAGTCACCTGAGATGTACACCGCACCACGAGGTACTTGTTTCAAGAGATATCAGAACTGCTAATTAATTAACCCAGGCGCTGATTGTCTGTGAAGTTCTTCTAAGTAGGCACTCTGATAACATTTTGGACAGAGACATATTGTTTACTGTTCAATGCAAAGACAATAGAATGTCAATAATTAAGCAGTTATTACCTTCCCCGCCCGACACTACTGATGAATAACATCTTATTTTACGTGGTTTTAGAACTTTCCAAATACTTTCAAACAATAATTCTTTAAGTCAACACAAAATGTAGGCTTGGGTGAATGTGAGAACACACCTTACTCGTCCTGATAGCCGGAGTCATCTGAGCTGTACACCGCACCACGATAAAGACATAGCAGAACTGAAGTAGTTAATTAACCAAGGCGCTGATTGTCTGTGAAGTTATTCTAAGTAGGGACTTCGATAACATTTTGTTCAAGGAGGTGTTGTTTACCGCTCAATACAAGGACAGGAGAATGTCAATGATTAAGCAATCATTACCTACCCCGCCCGACACTACCAATGATTTACATCTTATTTTTACGGGGTTTTGGAACTTTCCAAATACCTTCAAACTATGTTTTTTTAAGTTTGCACTAACTGTAGACTTGAGTGTACGTGAGAACACACCTCACTCGTCCTGATAGCTAGAGTCACCCGAGATGTACGCCCTGCACACGTATCTTGGATACTGCCAATATAAGTCGCCCCATGTTTAGCGATAAAGGAGACATTCCTCAAAACATATCCTAATTATTTTCTGATTTTCAACACATTCTAGATGACTCAATTAAACCTACGACGAGGCACATGAGACAAGAGATAGCAGAATTGAACTAGTTTATTATCCCAGACGCTGATTGTCTGTGAAGTTATTTTAAGTTGGTAATCTGATTTTGTACAGGGACAAATTGTTTACTGCTCATTGTTAAGGCGGGGAATGTCAATGGTTTTGCATGTATTACCTTTCCAGCCTGTCACTGCCAATTCATCCGGACTTTGGTACTTTTCAAATATTTTCAAATGATTTATGTAAAAAAAAAAAAAAAAAAAAAAAAAAAAAAAAAAAAAAAAAAAAAATATATATATATATATATATATATATATATATATATATATATATATATATATATATATATATATATATATATATATGTGTAATAAAATAATAATAATAATACATTTTTAAAACCGCGCTGTACGTGCGTCTCAGTGTTGCTTACATGACATTAAAAAACTAAAACCACGAAGATAAATTTAAAACTAACATAAAGGTATTTAAAACTAAAATATTAAAGTTAATCAAAATATTTTTACATGAAAAAAAGATTTTTAAAATTCCTTTCAAAAGAGTGATAAGAATAATTCAAAGCCACCTTTAATACGTTAATAAAATGTGGACCACAAAACAATTGAGTTATCTTAAATATAATCAAAGATGCGAATAGATTAGCTTTTTCTCTCCATTTTATTAAAAAAGGCCCTACGGCCGTTTCGGCCCTGAG